GGGAGGGGATTGGAGGCGGCTTTGTCGCAAGGGTTGGAGTTGGCAGCATCAGCACCAGCAGCTGTTGAGCCGATGGGGACGATGAAGGTATTAGGAATTTGGACGGGGGAGATTCGATGGGCTGGGTAGGGCGGTAGCGGCCGAGGCCGGTGGGTGATTTGAAAGGCGATGGCCGCTTCGCAGGCGGTGGCGATGTGGGAGGACGCGCAGGTGGAGGACGGTGTAATGGTGATTTGAAAGGCGATGGCCGCTTCGCAGGCGGTGGCGATGTGGGAGGACGCGCAGGTGGAGGACGGTGTAATGGTGATTTGAAAGGCGATGGCCGCTTCGCAGGCGGTGGCGATGTGGGAGGACGCGCTGGTGGAGGACGGTGTAATGGTGATTTGAAAGGCGATGGCCGCTTCGCAGGCGGTGGCGATGTGGGAGGACGCGCTGGTGGAGGACGGTGTAATGGTGATTTGAAAGGCGATGGCCGCTTCGCAGGCGGTGGCGATGTGGGAGGACGCGCAGGTGGAGGACGGTGTAATGGTGATTTGAAAGGCGATGGCCGCTTCGCAGGCGGTGGTGATGTCGGAGAACGCGCAGGTGGAGGACGGCGAAATGGTGTGGGGGAAGGCGATGGAGGCGCTGTAAAGCTTGGTGAGCGGAATAATGTTGGTGACGGTGACGGCGAAGACAAGGTAGGGGTCGATGAGGCTTTGGCAGGGGACCGAGGACGGGAAGATTTGGGGCGGGGAGGTCGATGCGATGGTGACTTGGCTTGGCCAGAGGCTGAAGGAGATGGGTGGTGCGGCAACGGATGCAGGTGGAGCAGAGGCGGTCGCTGCAAGGAAGGAGGCATCTAGAGGGGGAGGGAAGGGGAGGCAGAGGGGTTAGCGGTGTTGGAAAGTGGGATGATACGGCAAACGCGATGGTTGCCCGGACAGGGGTCCACTACGCGTGTGTGCGTGTGTATGTATATCTGCGGGTGGCTGGGTAGGGGGGTGGGAAGGAGGATGCTCCGCGGCATGCCATCTCGGCAGGTATGACTGAGCCCGTCCCGTATAAACGTCTTCCACCGCTGCTGCGAGATACGGCCTTGGTGGGGACACAATGGGCTATTACGGCACACGCACACACACACACACATATGGCACGAAACACATAGCAATACTGTAACCACAATACAATACAATACAATACATAGCAATCCTTTCTTTCATAACACGCGTAATACACGTCCATTTTACAACCACACTGTAGCAGCACACGATGGCAAATGCGTACATCTATACACAATAAAGTAGGCCTGCCAGCCTGCCAGCCTGCCAGCCTGCCAGCCTGCCAGCCTGCCAGCCTGCTAGCAGCCTACATTCCAAACCAGCCTGCCAGTCCAGTGCAATGCCCTTTCCCGAAATAAGGAGAAGAATAAGGAAATAGAACACTGATAGCAAGTAAGCTATTGACAGCTGGCGCCGCCCTTTTGCTTCGTTCCACGTACTGTACGACTGCCCACGAGAAGCCCTCCATGTAGGGGCATGCAAGGTTTGCGGGATCCAGCATGTCCGTTGCGAGTGCGACTTGCCTGCTGTATTTGCGACCCTTGTTGGCCATTGAGGCTGGCTATGACTCCCGTCGCGCCTGCAGTTTGGAGGTTTGGGGAAGTACGGAACGTGCAGTGAGGGGAATGGGCGGGGCTTCCGAAAGGGTTGCAAGCCGTGGTTTTTGCGAGCGCTTTCGCAGTGGATTGCTGAAGAGCCAGGCGGACACTTGAAAGCTGAGGATGTTAATCATGGAGGGACACATATACAGCTGTTGCAACTGCTGAAAGCTTCCGTCCGCATGGGCAGCTTCCGTTCGTACCATCTGCGAACGACAGGACAACCAAGATGCCCTGCAAAGCCCTCAGAATGGCACCAAATCTGATAAATCCAAGTTTCCAGATGACTGTCATGTCCGCTTGGCGTCCATAAGCACGACTCGAGATAGGGACGGCCGCAGGTAGGGACGGCCGCAGCAGGAATGCCGAAGCTATGAGCGTGGTGTGGCTAACGTGCCTCCTCAAAATGGGCTAAAATGCAGAAGCAGTCTCATAGATAACCAGATTATTAATGAGGAGGCAGTCGTCATTTAATATTCGGGCAAGCCCGTAGTAAGGTAAGGCCGCACCGTGCCCCCAGCGTGTTTGTCCTAGCGTTGCCACAATTAATGATTTGATCTCGATGATGAAGTAACGCTCATGCAGAATGGCGTGCCGTACCCGGTACGGTTCCCAGCTTCCGACTTCTTGGAGTCCAGAGTTCGGGCTCAAAGGTTACATCAAAACCCTGGGATCCCTAAAAATATACGTAATTTTTTATATATGAAATAATAAAAGCTTGTGTGCGTTTGTTGTTGTCGCATTTTAGTCCCAGTCAATAAAGCTACGGACTGCCTTTTAAGGTAAAAACTTGAATTGTGCTACGTATTGCCAAACTATTACGCTTAGTATTTATGGTAAGGTTTACTCTGAAGTAGGCAACTGTGCCCTGGCGCCCTAGCTAAAGCAGCGGAAATGCAGAAGCGAGTCGACCGGTCAAGTTGAATGGACAATTCTTGGCACCCAGATGTTTCACGCAAATATCTGATGGTTATTTGCAGACTCCGAGCCCGTGGAGTTAGCGCGGTGCCCAAGCTCATTACCATTGTAAACGAGCATCATACCCATGTAGTCCATGCATCCTACCAGCTGCTGCAATTTTATTTGTATCGTCGCAGTAACTGTTACCACTGGAACAGAAGGTGTAACCAGCTTATGAGCCCAGGGGTGTGAGCTCCTACCTAAAATTCTGCTGCGGAGTGGCCAATTAACTCATTACGCGTTTTCGACAAGTTTCAGAAACAAATCTCAGTTGATATTTTTCCTGCTCAATAACATTAACCGAGTTGACATCGTCGCGACATTGCGCCGCTTCGGCAAGCTGTCCGCCGTCCAACAGCAAGTTCGGACAGTAGGACCGCGGTTACAGATCTGCAAGGCACAGCCAAGCAAAATTCATTTACCTGCTTTTTAGGCCCGTGAGAGCCCGTCCCTGCCCGTCAAAAAGTTCGAGATTTACGTAAGTTATGCTGACACGTGAAAATCTGTAAAGGGAGCCAAGCCTCCACCACAACAGGGGGAGCGTCCTGGCAAGAAAGTGTTCCACGAATTCTGGGTAAAGCATTTTCCTTCGTATGGCCAACTTGGCCGGCCAGCGGCCTGAACTAGGATGCAAAAGTAATAGATGGAAGAAAAACAGCCTTACATGAGGATTGGTGCATAGATGTATGAATCTATGTTGCTTGATCGGACTAGCAACCTTACTGGTGTGCATCACAGGGCGTGCGGCTACCGCACAGCACCTGGCTCACCGTTGCGCCCGACTGTTGCCCGCCATGTTTGGGATGCCAGTCATTTCGCCCGCAGCATTTCCAGGTCTACAACCGAAATATTTGTAACAGATATAGTTACATACATTCAACGGATAATTCTAGGCGAGGAAAGCCGAGCGTCCCAGTTTAACACCTTTGCGCGACACTCAGTCCAGGCATAGTATTCCTTCGCGCACTTGTACTTTATGGCTTTAAGCAGGTCATATGTCTGCAAAGATGATTGCCTTTATCCAGTACCTCTACGGCAAAGGAGGAATCCTACGTTGAAATGAAATATTAACGTACCAGTACTGGCTGAGCTTTCCACGTGCGCCCAACCATGCCCGAATGCAGCATATTTACCTGAGATGGAATTTTCACTTGAGACGTTTTGTTAAAGTATTCACGACGCATCCATCCATCCGTCCCTTGTCCTTGTCCATTCCATCCGTCCCTGTCGATTTCCGTCAGATAACTGCCCTTTGCAGTTAAGCACACTCACCAAAGGTTCCTCGGCTTTTGATTCATCCACATAAGGAAACGGGATCCCCAGCGATGCCCAGCTATCCTCAGCATACTAAAGTTCAAACAAACCGCTGCGGCGGCTGCGGCGCTGCTGTCGCCTCCTCTGCTGGGCGGTCATTGACCTCTCCTGCCAGCCTGTCCCAGCGGACCAGTCACACGGGTTGGGAACTCCAGTTCCGAGTTTGGCTGCAGACAAGCCTTGCGACGTTCGCCCTGCTCAGCTCAAAAGCTTCTATCAAACCAGATTTATTCTGGGGCGGGAGGGGCCCAAGTGGAACCCTAGTGCTAGGGTCCCACTGTACTGCACGATTACCGACATCACCATGAGGTGAACGACAACCTCTCTGGCAGCTTGGGGAGTTCGGTTCCTGGCGTTGTGGTTCACTTGACGAGGCAGTCGCGCTATGGACGTCAGTGGATCGCAGTCGCTGTATGAAGCTGTTTTTCGGAGCCTCGTGTAGCTCTACGCAACTTCCCTCCCATACCCCGTCTGGCTTAAGAGATACTGGAAACCCCAGCCACCATGCACCACAGGTCGTGGTTCCTTATCTCCCGCCCTCTCGACCCACTTTAACCCCCGCGCCGCCAGACATCCCCCAGACACCGGAGAGTCGTTCGTGCTCCTATCCGCTTTTGTGGTTCGCGACTTCCTAGGGGTTCCAAAGCCCCTCGGGTTCTCTTTCGTTTCCCGCCGCCCACATCCCTCACCACCCCCCAACAGGGGGGCCCCATACAGCTGCTGCTCGCCAGGCGCCAGGCGCGAGTTCAGAGGACACACATACACACACATACACACACATACAGATGTACATACATACGCATACGCACAAAAAACGTACAAGTACACTGCTGCAATCGGCAACAGCCCCGAAACCGCACTTTACACATTTGCAGTTGAAGCCTACCCTTCCCACATCTTGATTGCTCATTATTCCTCTGCCTCCCTGTCTTCTCCTCCTCCCCCCGTCTTTCCCCTTCCCCCCTCACCCAGTCCAGACCGGCCTCAAGGGCAGTATGGGTGGGCGATCTGGGTTTCCCGGCTGCGCTTCCTTTCCCACATCCCACATCCTAGCCCCGATCCCCTTTTTTTACGCCATTGCGCCCCCCCGATACGAAAGGGGTTTTCCTCCCCGCGTGTAAATAGCTCCAAAACCGTTCACCACCACCACCACCAGGCTACTTCAAACTGCGCCGACTGGCTCCGAAACCAGGCATGACCTGAACGCCTCCTCGAAGTCGTCCCTCTCCAGGTATTTGCCAATGAAGACCATCTTGCAGCAGCGCTTCTCACCCGGCAGCCATTTGCGGTCGGGGATGCCCTCAAACACCTGGTGAACACCCTGCGTGTATGTACGACATATGTTTTTGTTGTATTCGTGCGTGCATGGGGGGGAAAGGGAATGGCGGGAAAACGTGGGGAATCCGAATAGCACAGGGTTTGCGGGGGCAAACTGGGCGGGGAAACCACATATGCAAGAAATCAACGGGAGGGGTAGGGTCCAGGGGAGGCGTGAGCGGGTAAGGTGGGAAGGGAAGAGGCGGCATCATTACTTGGGTGACAATAGGTCGGTCTCTGCTTGCGTTTATTTGCGGTGGGGGCAGCAGGAGCGCGGGATAGGGACTAGGGGGCTCGTTGAGCTGGGCTTGGCTTGGCTGGAACGTTATGGGCGGGAATGGAAAGGTTGCAACTAACATTCTGGGGCAAAATCTGTGCCGATGCGAGTACAGAGCGGCGAGGCACCGCCTAGTCAACTGGTCGCGCCATCCCTTACAGCACCTCCTTACCCCTAAGGGAAGGCCATCGTCATGGAACCTGAATCCAAGTACAGCACTACGGCACCGCGGAAGACCGTCGGGCAGCTACCGGAATCCCGGCCCTTGAAATCAGGGACACACAACACCAGCGCTAGCAGCTGCTTTCCCCACCACCCATACAGACATCCATACAGACATCCATACAGACATCCATACAGACATCCATACAGTCATCCATACAGACATCCATACAGACATCCCCCCCCCACACTCACCTGGTACACGAAGCGGTATTCGGAGCCCGCAATGGCCAGGATGCCCTTCATGCGGTAGATGTCCTCAGCTCGGGACTCCAATAGGAAGCCCAGAGAGTAGTTCACCTGGGCAGGGGGGGGGGGCAGGAAGGAAGGCACCAGGAAGGGTAGGAGTCATACGATAATGATGATGATGATGATCGTGATGATGATGCAAGGACCGAAGCACCATCAGCTGATGAGGACGTCCAAAGCAACGACGCGACAGCTCCAGAACCTAGCCCAACAAAACCTTCACCCACGAATGGAGCGGAAATGACAACACCGTTGTTGTACGAGGGATTACGGTGTTGTACGGGGGCCAGGTACGGCAGTAGGCCAGGTCGCTAAATTACGGCAAAGTGACGGCGGGTCGGCAACTGCTTGGAACCCGAGGGGGTTGCAGCTGGCGGGGGCGGGGGCGGGGGCGGGAAGGGTGAGGGAAGGGTGAGGGAAAGGAGACAATTCCCATGACGTTCAGCGCGCCCGTGGAATATGTAGCCCCAGTACTGGCAATTTTCCTTTCGGGAAGTCCTTTCCGGAAGGAGGAGGATGTCCCGCCCAGACTAACGTCTTGATCTGCGGGGCCCCCAGATCCACTGAGCGAGCTGCAGCTACCGACCAGCTACCCACCTTATCAATGTCCATCTCCCCATCAAACTGGAAGCTGACCGAAGAAACCCGGTCATCGTGCTTGGGGACCTGCTGCTGCTGCTGCTGCTCTGCACGTGCATGTGCGTGATCGTGCTCATGCGCATGTGCATGTGCATGGCTGTGGTGGTCGTGGCCATGATCGTGTTTGTGGCTTTCGTGGGTGCATGTCGCTCCACTGCACGAGTGGTCGTGTTCATGTTCATGCTCGTGGTGGTGGTGGTGGTGGTGGTGGTCGTGTTTGTGAGACTCGTGGGAGCAACCCGCACCACTGGGGAACGGGGAGGGGAACGGGGAGGGGGAGAGGGGGAGAGGAAGGAAAGACGGGAGGATGCACATCAGGACGAGGATGCAAATCAGGAGTTAGAGGAGGAATCTGCGCAAGAGGCAAGTAGCAAATCATAAATATTATTATTATAAAATTACATCGTGTGGAATAACACTGCTAGTGAGCCTTTCAGTCACTAGATTCAAATAGAGGATTAAAGTTTTCTCCTAATATTTTTTCTATTGGATTTTTCTTTTAGTGACGAAGGAGAGGAAGGGCAGGAGGAGGGAAATGGAAAACGGCAAAGGCACAGAAGGCGACGAAGCGGGAGCCCGCAAATGCACTCCACCCTCCCACCCACTCCCCAACACACACATGCACACCTTCCCCCAACTCCCGGAAGCAGTTCTCCCCATCATGTGGCCAACCCATGATAGACACGAAAACCCTAAGGGTGAGCTACTGCTGCCAGTACTGCAGTACCTCCAACAGTAACTACTACCTGAATGAGCTCTAGCAACCTGAACTGGACAGACGCCGCCCGGTATGTCGGTATGTTTATCATTACCCGTATGTCGCCAAACATCCGGGGGGGATGTGACCCCTGCAGGCTGCACAGTGCAGAATCCCCCCTCCCCCTCCCCCTCCCTCCTTCCCCTCCCGAGACCACCACTCTTATCTATCTCAGTCAGGGTTGTCCGCACAACTAAAGGCGCGCGTGTTTACAGGGACACATAAATCTGATGACCGCGTCCAGTGCGTGGCCGCGAGCCGGACAAAAAGGTCCCGTATGCGTACGAGTGCCGTACCTGCAGTCGTGGTCGTGATCGTGGTGATGGTGGTCATGGTGGTGATGGCCCGACAGCGTAAGGTTGAGCTAGGGGGGAGAGGGAGAGGGAGGTACACGTTTCATTATCGAATGTATGTATGTACGTATGTATGTGTGTACATGCATGCGTATGTGTGTATATGCATGCATGCGCATGTATGTACGCATGTATGTATGTATGTACATGCATGCGGGGGTCTGCGATGAACAGCGCAGTGGGAGGGCCCCGGGGCGAACACATCCTCATGTGTCGCATACCTCCCACTTTATAACCCACCCACCCAAAGAGAAGGGCTTAGGGTTTTACAGCCGACAGGGGGGCACTGCCGAGCTCGAGTGCTCCCCCGCTCCCCCGCGGGGGCCGGGGGGTGCAGGTAGCAGGAAGAGAAGACGCACAGCAGCATAACGGTACACACACACACGCACACGCACACATACATACACACACAGACACCGCGGCAAAAAACACGATCGTGAACCCCCAGCACGTGGGGTTCCGGCTGGCTGGATGGGCGGCCGTGGTCCCTCCCGCCCCTTAACGTCAGACAGAAAACACACCACATCTCCCCCCGCCCCTCTTTACGTTACTCCCCTTTCCCCCCCCCCCCGCCATCTGCGTGTGTGCTCCAGTACAGTGCCCGCGGCCGCCGGGTCCGCAGCCCTACGTAACGCCTTCGTCCCCTCGTCCCCGAACCGCAACCCAATATTCACACACACTCGCACACATACAGGCACACATACAGACGCACGTAGAAACACACACACACCTCACCTCCTTTTCCACGTTGGCTAGGTCGTAGCCGCCCACACCCAGCACGTAGTCCACATCCACCTTAGGGAAGGGAATAGCAGTGCCGTACAACCGTAATGCATCTTAATGGATATGGCACCGAGGACAGGAAGGTGAGGCCCCGACACGGGCTCGCTCTCTCTCGCGAAGCAAGGAAAGGAGCACGCAAGCGAACATCAACACAGATGCATCTGCACGTAACTCCTGTAAACCCCAAAGTATTTCCAGGTGTACGACAATGCCCACACGTCCCGTACGGGACCTCTAATGCGCACAGAGACGCCTACATTAAAACTGTCGTACATTCAATTGTACAAAACACCCACGTGTAGATATGTCCCCCTCTCCTATACCCCTCTCCTCTCTCCCCATCCCCCGCCCCCACTCCCCCGGTCAAAACATACATACATACATACATACATACATACATACATACATACATACATACATACATACATACACGCGCACAATACTTTCTCTCGCGCTTACCTGACTCCTCTGAGCCGCCTTGAATGGCGCCATCGCATTCACCGCCCGCAGTCGGGACTCCAGGGAGGCCAGTTCAGAAGGCTTAACCTGCCGTACAGCATGTACAATAATACGGAGACGCGTTGTTGCTTATAGAGAGAAGCGCATGCACGCACGTTGCTAAGTATGCTCTGCATAACATACAGACATACAGACACACAGACTCACGACGTGGGGCGGGCGACCACGACAACTGGGACAGGCAGCCAGCCAGCCACACAGCCCCAGACGGAATAGCGACAAGTGGCACTTTGGCAACGCGCCCTAATAAGGTCAAAAGAGCTTTTGGAGGTGGTTTCAAGGCCCTCCCCCACTCCCTCCCTACCTCCCTCCCTGTCCCTTCCCCCCCCCGTCTCCGTGATAAGCGGCAGTGAAGAGCCCTCCAATATACATGCAAATTCCAAAGACCCATGCCCTTTCCGTAAATTCCAGGGATCCGTCCCCGCTGGGCCCCCCCTCCCCCCCCCCTCTTCCCCACCCCAACCCCCCACCCCACCCCACCCCACCAGGTCCGTCTTGTTGACGATGATCCGGTCCGCATACGCCACTTGCTCTATGGCCTCATTCACCTTCTCGGGGTCCTCCAACTTACTGTCGAGGTGGCGACTGGGGCGGGTTTAGGGCGCGTGGATTTAGAGGGTTTGGGGTTTTACGGGGGGGGGGGAAGGTAAGACGGACGAGTGCTCACAGACGA